TAAGAGCACTCAGTGTTTTTCCAACAGCTTTGTTTTTCCCCCTCTGGTGGGGAAGCCCCGCGACGTCCCCCAGCCTTTGGTTTGCAAACCTCCCAACGCAGGAGTCGAGTCCGTCTTGCCCTGGGTCTGTTTTCCAGGGAATTTTCACACGCTCCTCCCACGGCAGAGTGCGCGGAGACCAAAAGGGCCTTTGGCCCATCCAGATGGAAATGCCCCGCCGTGGTGCCCAGAGGTGGGTAGGAGAGGCGGGCAGGCCGTGTGCCAAGAGAGCCGGGCAGTCCGGCCTCCGCTGATTTCAGTGTCTTCGTCCTCCCTTGCTGGTGGGGCGGGGGGCCAGCCTTTTGTACCTCCCCCCCAGTCTTCAGGCGAGGAGCTGCTTGTAAGATTTGTCCTGGTCGGCAGGGAAACGCCAGAAGAGCCAGAAACGCACAAGGCTGGTGGCAATGCCTGGCACGTTGGGAATCTGGTGGAGGAAGACGAGGACTCTGTCAAGAAACGTATCGAGAAACGCTCCCTCCCCACTGATCCTCTCCCCCTGCCTGGAACGCGGCTTCCATCAGCTGGATCGAGACCCCGGATTTGATCGGAGCTCAGCCCACCCCCCCACCTTGCCAGATACTGACCGCGATGTACAGATCCTCCAGAAGGAGACCGTAGAAGGTCCAGCTGGCCGAGGCCAGGAAGGTGGTGACCGTCAGCGGGAAGGACAGGCAGCGGGTCGAACGGCTTTTCACGATCTTGATCTGCAAGCGGGGAGAAAAGTCATCTGAATGGGGCTGGAGACCAGGAGCAACAGTTCTCCCCGACCCCTTGGGCAAAATTAATGGGCGATAATATGGCATTTTGCCGGGCACGGGCTAATGCAGAGGAGAGCCAGCTGGAAGCAGTGGGAATTAATATTAACCACCCTTTGGTTGGGTTCCTACCCAGTTAATCCCCATCAGCCCTGGTTTTATGTCTTTGAGTATGGGATCTTCTGCATTTTAATTCTACTCCACGCCAGGCTTGCATTTTATAGACGGTTTTACGGATGCGCCATTAAATAGAGAGGTAGCGTATTCATAAGCTAAGCCGTGGTTTCCCTAACTGCAGTTTATGGAATCAGCCACAATCGACTGGTCTCGTACAGAACTTACAAAGCTGAATGTGGCTCGGTGCCTATCTCAAGTTAAGCCAACATAGGGGGTTTGTTTAGGGCCACTTAACTCCTGTGACAAGGGAGCCACAGCGCACTGCATTGCTCAAGATACGGCGGCTTTAAACATCCTGGCTAATCCAAGCTTTGATCTAACAGGCCATGATTTCTGACCACTGACGCAAGTTGCTTTTCTTGGAAGGGTCTGGAAAGACGTGGGAATCAGGAGGAAAAGCCGAAGGACGGGGCGGAAGCTATCGCTTGGCCACGATGCAATCTCAGATCCGGAAGGGAACTCAAAGACCATCTAGTCTAACTCTCATGCAATGCGGGATCCAAAAGATCTCCAGCAAAGGACCGTCCGGCCTCGGTTTGAAGGCCTCTGGCGAAAAACTCACTTCACGTGGCCATCTGTTCCACTGACTGACAGCTGATTGCCACTTCATGTGGCCTGTTCCACCGTCTCACAGCTCATCCAGCCAGGAAGCACTTCCTTCCTGACACCCCGGGTTGGAATATGAGCGGAAGGGCGACATTTGCTGCCAGGAACCAACCCTGATCCGGATCCAACGGGTTTCTTCAGCAACCGGACCTCCCTGGCGCCTCCAGCGTCAGTGGCAGTCTACCTCCGAACGCCAATGGCACCAAGAGGGGCGCGACGGCCCAACTGCAGAACACGAAGCCCCTCCACGAAGTGGAGCTGAAGGAACACCTTGGGTGGGGTTCCCGGGAGCCCCGTCGCAACTCCCGAGGGCGGCCGTGGCTTGTCTCTGCAAGGCTTAACCTGGTTACGTGCCAAATCAGGTTCACACGCTCTCTGCTGCTGGCTCCGTTTCCCGACAGGTGCCTGAAACGCGGCCCAAACCCTGCCTCCCTTCTCCACGTACGAAATTAAAATTCCTCGGCCGAGTCACTTCACTGGCAGCGTCGGCTTCCGGCCGCCTGGGCTCTGAGCTGTCCCTAAACCGGAAAAACCTCACGGGTGCAGGCGCGTGAGCGGCCCCGAGCAAAGCAGAAAGTGGAACAGGGAAAGGGAACCCCAAACAGCTGCTGATTTAGTTGCAAATTCACCTAATATGTCCCTTTTTCCTCTTTCTTATGCAGCAAGGTAGGGGAGTTGGACTGTCCACGGGCATCCAAGTTTCTTTCCTGGATATTTCTCAGCGGGGAAAAAAAGACCCTTCGTTCCCCTTTTTTCTAACTGAAAAATGATTCCCATAAGCCAGTGTTGTCCAAACCTGGCCACTTTAAGATGAGCGGACTTCAACTCCCAGAATTCCCCAGCCGGGGGAATTCTGGGAG